TATGCTTTCTGAATGCCTCCGGTAGATGTGATCAGGAAATGGGCTTCCCTTTTCACTCTTCTTCCTGAGAAGTTTCAAGATACCACTGTTGGTTGTTTTGACGTAACTTAGGATTTAATTTTCGGCCTAGTTCCTCTTTTGTCTGCTTGTCCTGCTCCACAATCCCCATTCAGGCCTTTTTTCTAGTTGGCAACAGTTCAGGGCCGGCTGTGGCCATTTGGTTTTAATTGGAAACTGTCTCTTTAAATTTCGAGATCTGTGCGCATGCATAGTAGAACCCTCCAAGGGTGGGGCCCACTAGTTCAGGCACCCCTATAATCACCAGAATGGAGATGCACAGGCAGTAAGGGACCAATGAACAGATACCAAAAGAAAAGAATGTGCACACCTTTATCTCAGCGGTTCTGCCAGGCGTCTGGGGCCGCTCCGATCCTTCCCCCGTGTGGTCTCACTCAAGATGGCGGCTCCTGGAACAGCTGAGCGTCCCGGACTAGAAAGCAATAGATTTCTTGCTTCTGCCACAAATTCCCCCAACTGTGAGCCTTCCAACCTTCTAAGTATTCCTTTATATGTTCAGAGTTCTGGGACCATCCCCTGAGCCTGCCTGGTTGGGTATTCTGTGTTGTTGGCGGAGCTCTTTGCTACACATCCACCCGATCCGCCATCTTGTTTGTTCTCTAGAAACCTGTTCATGCTATTTTATGTTTATTTTTTGCACATGGAATAGGGGCCTGTAGTTGCCTCAAAAAGGAAAATGGACATTGTACAGGCAAGTATAGTGAAAAATGACAAACCACAATTAGTGCCCAATGTTTATTTCCTCCACACATGGGACAGCTCACACAAACAACACACACAGGCGCTGGAATCACAGGAGAGGGTACCACCCCTAATCTCTGGTGTGAGAGGGGAAGAGAAGGATGCTTTTTCTCCCATCCTCACTGGGGACTTAGGGGGAATCAATGGACAAGCTCCACCCCTTCCACCTCTCAGCCAATGAGAAGCCACCTAGGTGACATGTTTAGTTCCAACCATTATCAGTAAGTGGAGAAGTGATTGGCCTGGTCCCAACCATTACAAGGGAAGGTGTAAACAGTAAAGGAAGGTACAGTTTGGATTAGGCCAGGAGAAGGGGCAGGTGACACCATCAGAAGCATGTGGTAGTGGTGGTGGTGGGGGCAGTTGTAGGCTTCTGGGCTGCCTAGTCTCTGGCTCAGGAGGAAGGGGTCAGGAGATGGATGGGGCTTATTGTTTGGCATTGATGATGTCCACAAATTCGGGCTTGAGGGATGCACCACCCACCAGGAAGCCATCCACATCAGGTTGGCTTGCCAGTTCCTTGCAGGTGGCTCCGGTCACAGAACCTGGTAGGGTAGAGAGGTGGTTAGAAATCAGGGGTGAGATGGGCACCATCCTCCTGCCTAAGGAGGACTCAGTCTAATTCTCAGCCCACCCCACCTCAGGCTGAGGCCAGACCCACTCACCTCCATAAATGATACGAGTACTTTGAGCCACTGCATCAGAGACATTGGACTTGAGCCACCCCCTGAGCTTTTCATGTACTTCCTGAGCCTAGAATAAGAGCAGACTCAGTAAAGCCCTTTCTACTACCTTCCACTCAAAGGGGAAAAACACTGGCTACCCATGGAGAGGCAGTGCAATCTCAGAGCATCGAGACTTCAATCCCAGCCAGGCTCCAGAGTGGATGGCCTTGGACAAGTCATTCTCTCTTTAGACTTGGGGACTCCTTGTCTGTAACACGAGAGGTTGGACCGGATGGTCTCTGGGACAATCGAGTTCTACCAAGGCAGGAATAGATGAGGGCAGGCCTCCTGGGCTAGCTCACCTGTTGGGGTGTTGCCGTCTTGCCAGTACCAATGGCCCACACAGGCTCATAAGCCAAGACGACCTTGCTCCAGTCAGTCACATTATCTGCAGGGCAGAGATCACACATGGAGGGCAGCATGAACAGTAAGGAGCTATCTAGCCACCTGCTGCAGGGCATTTAGAATGGTGGTGGCCCACTGCTGCCCTCTGGTGGCTACTGAAGGAACCCCAGGTATCAGGGAACAAGTGAGGAAGGATGCAAGGACTCCCACTCTCCCTTTGTGGTATCATCATGGGGATCAGGATCCAAGTCAGGCTACAGAGCATCTGACCTCACCCTCTGTAGCCCTGGCTAAGAACAAAAGTCCTTTTTCCAGATATACCTGCGATGACCTTGGTTTGCTCGAAAACGACCTTTTCAGTGATGCCAGCTTCCCTCTCATCTAGCTTCTCCCCAATGCAGGCGATTACTCCGAGTCCCTCTGCCAGGGCGTGGGCCACTTTCTGCCCAATCAGCTGTTGGGGAACAGACTTGGTGAGACATCCCTCTTGGAATAAGGCATCTCTCCCCTCCCCTCCTGGTTACCAACCTCATCTGACTCTCCAAAGACATGCCTTCTTTCCGAGTGCCCCAGGACTACCCAGGTGGCTCCACAGTCTTTGATCATGCCAGGGCTAAAGGAAGAGAGGAAACTATGGATCAAGAGGGAGCCCACCCTGTGGCTTTTCCCTCAACCAAGGAGAGTGAGGGAATGGTCTCCATATACCCCTTATTTGTCTGCATCTTACCTGATCTCACCCGTGAAGGCCCCATTAGTTACTTTGTAGCAGTTCTGAGCAGCCACAGCAATCTTTGGATCTAGCTTCTGCCTGGCGAAGTCGATGTAGGCAGAAGGAGGTGCACAGACAACCTCTGAGAATGAGGAGGCACAGGAAGATAAGATCCTAAGACACCTGCATTCTCCACACTCTCCATCCAGTGCTCTGGAGTCCCCACCTCTACCCCAGCCTTTACTCTCTTCCTTAGTTCTCTTTTCCTCCCCTTTTCACCCAAGCAAGATGACCTTTGTCCACTCCCCAGCCCAGGCTGGCCCTGCACCCAACTCCTACAGCCTACAGCCTTCCTGAGAAGCCATGGCCCTAGTCCTGCCCTCTGCCCTTTTAACAGCTGTGGCTCAGGTTTCCCAGGGCTATTCTGAGCATGAGTACCTCCCAGATTCAGCATTCTCTGGGGGCCAAGTCTGCCTCCCTTCTAAAATAGCCCATCTCCAGCTCCTCCATCAAGGCAAGGATTTTTAGCAAAGGAAAAGGGGCCAGCTCCTGGGGTTCTATTGTGGTCTTTGGGGGAATAAACCAGAAGGGAATACTGCTTGTGATCAGGACTGCTGGTTCTAAGCTTTAGTGAGATGGGAGGGAAAGGGCTGAGGGCAGAGTTCTTTGCCCGTGTGTGGTAGGCTGTTACTAGCTCATAGAGGCCTTGGGCTTTCCCGCTTCCAGGTTGGGGAATGCTGTACGGTCGCTCCTCATTCCCAAAAGGCTTAGCCTGTTTGACATCTGCTCGGCTCTTCCGTGCAATGCAGGAGTTGCCCTAGGTTGCCGAAGGGAAAGGTTCCGAGCCGGTGCCTAGGCGTTTGGGAGCCTGAGCGAGCCCGGCCAAGCGTGGGGAGGAGTCTGGCTACGTGCGACGACGCACGGAGCCAGGGCCCTCCGCGCCGAGGGGCAGGTAGCCTGGAGCCCTCATGCACTCTCATACTCCGCCCCCACAGTCGAGGGCAACGCTAGCCTCTGCCGGTCGCCCTCGGGCTCCAGCCCTACCCCTCGGCTCCAGGCTGCTGCAGCCCCAGTCCATGTCCTTCCTCCCGGTGACCCAAGTCCTTTCCCGCCCCGAGTCAGAGGACACCATTAAATGGAGCTCCGCTTTTCCCCCTCGACACACCCTCGCGACTGCAACTGCGAGGTCACTGCACTGTTAGATCGATGTCCGAGCACCCAACGGCCCTTTTCCACCGGTCATGCATCCAGGTCCTTGCGGTCATCCGACTCGGAGCCACGCCCGTCCCCCTTCCCAGCCCCAGCCTCTTCTCGGTGAGGGCTTACCGGTATCGGTCGGCACCTTGGCCGCGTTCAGAGTGGTGATGAGTTCCCCTAAAGCCTTCTTTCGCCCGTTCATTTTCCAGTTCCCCCCCACGAAGAACTTTCTGGAAGGCGCCATTGCGTTGGTGCCGAGACACTGAAGGTCAGTCCCACCGCGCAGCCGCTGCCACTGCCCACTTATATAGAGCGCGGTGAGGCAGAACTCCGCCTCCTCCTCTGCCATGGTGAGCCCGCCCCCTGCCTGGAAGTCCTTCCCCCTAGTCCCGCCGGTCGCCCGCTGTTGCAAGGTTCTGACATTCCCTCCTTTCTTGTAGCAACGTTCTAGGGACATTGGGGGAACGTAGTTACTTTAGCCTCCACTGCCTGGCTATGCGGGAGGGCAAGAATTATCGTTTGTGCTCAGGGGAACCCCCGAGTTCAAGACTACAGCGCCACAGAGGGCCAGAGAGGTGGCTGTAAATGGAGTTTTGTTGGCAGGCTAGACCACTCCACTGCTTGGCCTTAGGCCGAATTGGTCACTAAGGCTGAGGGAGCACTGAGGGCATTGTTCCAACTCAGGCAGAGAGAACCCCTTTCTACATTGGAAAAGCTATATCCCTTCCTGCTTTAGCACCCTTGGCCTACCCTGCAAAATTTCTAGCTCCCTAGTTGTTGGAGCTCTGGTTGGTAGCGTAGTGGTTACGAATCGGGCTGCAAACCGCAAGGTCAGCAGTTCGAAACTACCAGCTGTTCCGCGGGAGAAAGATGAGGCTTTCTGCTCCTGTAAAGATTTACAGCTTTGGAAACCCTGTACAGGGTCGCTATGAGTCGGAACCGACTCCACGGCACATAACACCAACAACAGTTGTTGGACAAATGAGTGTTTACAGGGGGAAAGAACCCACATTGGCTAACTAGTTACTGCGCCACCGTCCAGAAGTCCACAGCCCCCTCTTTACTCCAGTTGGTCAAGACATCACAAGAGACTGAAGGGTCTGGGACTCAGGCTGAGAGCCCCCCAGCCACGATGGGCATTTGGTACTTACTTAGTCCCTTCCTGAGACTATTGGAAGGAAGCTCTCTTGTGCCCTCCTACTCTGTGGCTTTGTTTAGGTTACTCCACTTCCCTGATGTGACAGCCCCAACTAGCAGTCACTTGCTGCTCTTCTACTGTTTCAGTGACAACCTCTGATCTGTCCTTTTCATATGCAATTTTCCAAAAGTTCTAGGACTGGTGAAAATTAAAGGGATAGCAATATGGATGGGGCAGGAGAGTGGCAGAGGGGCTAGGAGTGTTCTGAAAGGGCCCTCCTACTAGTTCTAGGAAAGAGACATCCCTGCCAAGGTAGCAAAACAGGACAGGACACAAGTTAGCCATTGTACTTTTATTCACATCATGTATTTTGGCATTTTCAGAAAGAATGGGGAAAAGACAGGGTAGGGAAAAGAATGAGGCAGGAGGGTGGGGGCGTCCCCATTTCCCTCATACTCCTCCTTGCCCAACCACACATGGAGCAAACACAAAGGGTGAGGGGAAGCACAGGCGCTTCCTCCCCTAGAAGAGGATGCACAAAGCTACACCCAGGCACACACACAAATGAGACACCCTCCCCTGACTCCATACCAGGGGGCTGGGCAAGAGAACACAGAGAAGCAGAGCACTGTGGATTTAAGGGGCAGGGGAAGCAACAAAGTCTCTTTATAGACAGGCTGGCCCCCTCCCTTCCCCTTCCCACTCGATCCCCAAAGTCTATAGAGTGACCCCTGCCCTTTGCTTGGCCATTCTCCTATGGCCTCCAGCTTCTTCCCTGCTGGGGACAAAAAGAAAAAGGGTATAGAGCAGGGGGGCTGAGGTCCATTCTTCAGCCCCTATCCCACATGCCGGGTGGTTTGTCCCCTGGCCCCAGTGTAAGGGGTGAGGAGGGGCTCTTAGCTGGCCACTCTCTGATAGAAGTAAATGTAGCCCAGGTCCTTGGGTGGTTTCTCAGAGGCACACACTTTCTGGTCATTGTAGATCACCCATCTGGGGAAGAGACAGAAAATGATCAACATTCTAAAGTTTATCAATTTAATTTCTAAGTCCCAAGAACTCCTACAGTTGTTCCTGGTGATTCTGGGGGTAAAGGTTCCCAACATTGTTTTTCTGGGTCCCCAAACCTACAGCCCACCTGCTCTCTGTCTGAAGGAAGCTTCCCAATCCCACAAGGATCTTTTCTCCTATTTGTTATCTTGAGATCCTCCAGTATCTTTAACACCCCCCAACCGTTACTGTAAGGCTGGGGGTTAGCAAACTTGTCCTGTAAAGTCTAGTAGTAAATGTTTGAGGCTTTGCAGGTCACCCAGTCTCTTACAGCTACTCAGCTGTCCTGTTGCAGCATGAAAAGAGCCACAGACAGTATACAATGACTAATGGGGTTTCCTGGTACGGTGCTATAGGATCAGTGCTAGACTGCTAACCACAAGGTCACCAGCTGCTCCTTGGAAACCCTATACAGGGTCGCTATGAATCAGAACTGACTTGATGGCACTTAACAATACTGTGGCTACACTCCAGTAAAACTTTATTAGCCCTTGGGCTAGATTTTGCCAATCCCTGCTATAAGGCATTTTTCTAATCTCTGGTGTGTTTGGGCCCTTCATCACAAATATTCTAAGGACTTCTTCCAGAATGCTCATTCCCACCACCACTTCCCCATTCAAAGTGCACACTGCCAGTCCCTCACCTGCCCTCCTTCTTGATGTGACAGACGTAGTGACCACACATGGTAGAGGTGCCCATGTGACTAATGAAGGCAAAGAGCTGATACTCTAGGGAAAGGGCGAGAAAGAGGGCAAAGAAAATGGGCGAGAAATTCTCGAGTGCCATTCCAGAGACACATCAAGCTGCTCACAGTGAGGACATGGGTTTCAGGGAATGTGGGGCATGTATTGGGCCAAAAGGCTTTCAGCCTCCAAGACTCCCACTCTCAAGACGTTGTTAGTGGAAGGTCGTTTCTGACCCTCCCTGACACTGGAGGAAAATATAGCACAGCGGCCTTCCAATGAGGGATCTGGAGTAGCAGACTGGCTAAAGTCTCCAGTTCTGTCCTGTTTCCCGGGAACACTCACTTCCAGGACCATCCCGGACTTTAGGTCCAACTGGCACAGACTCAGAGATGGAATCGGCAGCTGAGCGGCCCTCGGAGATGTCCATGGCAGCTTCAGCATCCAGGTCATCAATGTGACTGAAGATCCAGTCCACAGCCCGTTCTAAACTATTGTTCTTGGAGAGGAAAGAACTGTTACTTTTCTGAACAAGCTCTGGGGCAAGAAAACCATCAGTGAAAGTTCAGCTCCTTCAGAGAGGTGGAGTCCTAGCCTTGGCCATGCCATTCCCATTGTCCTTGGTCTTACTCTTGAAGGACAAAATCTTACTCTGACCCCTTTTTTCCCACACAGACCCCAAACCCTTTGCTGTGGCATCTCATACCGTGGCCCGTAGAGCTTTCAGGGCCTGGTCCTGGGAGAAGCCCATGGAGACAATGGTGGTCACACAGTCCTCTGGCGGGGGGTCAGCTGCTGCACTGGTGGAGCCAGGTCCACTGGAGCCAGGCAGGATGAGGGGGTTTGCAAAATCTGTCAGGATGTGGAGGGTTGAAGTGTGTTTCCAGGGGGATGGGGGCCCCGCCCCTCCCTGCTGCTAGAAGCCGCCTACCTGGATCATCCATGTGCGACATGACCCAGTTCATGGCAGCCTCGGCCCCACTGTTGCCTGTGTAGTAGACAGCCTTGCGGCAGGCATCCATAGGGAAACCCATCTCCACCAGCTGGATAATGACCGATTCATCCAGCATTGGTGCTGTGGGAGGGAGAAATTGTGGGCACAGTGACCACTGGGGCATTGGGACAACACTTGCCCCTTCTCCCTCCAACAGTATACCCACCAGCCCTTTCCCAACTACCCAGGCCATGCATTTCCCTCAGCCTTATCCCAGAATTAAAGTGACCAACATAACATGGGTCCAATATTGTAAAGGCACTACATGGAGGCTAAAGATCCCCTATTTACCCCCTTTCCTGTCCCGTTTTCAAGGAATAGCCCAGTTTCTGGAGCGGGATACTCCCCACAACACCCAAACATGGAGGCAAACAGAGTTCAGAGGCAATTAGCCAGGGCTATTGTTATCCACATGGAGAATGTGGCTGAGAGTGTTCTAGTCAGTCCCCAGGTCCATCAAAAGGACAGAGGAAGTTTGAAAGGGAAGACAGGAGAAACACAAAGAACACAGTCACGGGGAGGTAAAGTAGAGAAGCCCCACCATCAGCAAGGAGAGAGACAGACAGGAAGAGTCACTAACATGTTGGAGAGGAGAAGTGAGGGGAGCAGAAGGAGTCTTCGTCTTCGTTGCCATAGAAACCAAGGCTACCTTTGGGCTCATCCGGAGTGACCAGGGGAGGGGCAATGTCAGGCAGCTCCTCCTCTCCAGGCTGCAGCCCTGTACCCCTCAACTGGGAGATGTCTAACTCCTCTGGCATCTCAATGGACACGTCTGCAGTGGGAATGGAGGAAAAGGGTCACCTCAGCAGCTCTCTGAGGCCCTCTTGGAGTCACTCTGAAAGATTTCATAGTTGGAACTTCTTTGTAACAAGGAGCTACTACCAGGACCAGGGCCAATCTCAGAGCGGTCCCACTGTAATGCAAAGAATAGTGGGCCCAGGAGTCAAGATCCCTGGACTCTAGATCTAGAACAATGAGCTACAGACAAGGAAGGGCCCCCCAATTTGTGCAACTGATTGATTCTTCACTTCTGTGGGTCTCAACTTCCTTTGTCTAGAAAGTTTTCAAATAGTTCTTATTCATCAGGGGTCTGTAAGAGTAATGGGAATTAACTTCTCAAGGTTGTCAAAAGGAAAATGTTTTAAAAAACTAGAAATCATTGGCTGCAAATCTAATTGCAAATCAAAGAAGTTTTTTAATATTTTTAGTCCATGTTTTTCAAACATGTTTGGAAACAACTAAGATCATTTTTCCCCTACTTTCAAGTAAAATCTAAGCAGCACAGATTTACATGTGTTAAGGCCCCTCTGGTTCGAGCACTATCTGCTTAACCTCCCTCGTCCCAGTCACCATACCCAGTTTCTTGGGCACCCAGTCTAAGCCGAAGGTGAACTTCTTGATCTGGATGACCAGGTAGTCAGGGAATGAGGCAAATCGTGTTGTCCTATGGAAGACAGAATGTTCTGGTACCCAGAGAATCCCAAGGCTCTTCTCTCCTGACAGCCCCACCCTGGGGCTTAGCGTGTCTGGAGTAGAAGACATGACAGCCCAGAAGATCCTCCACACTCTTCCCCTGGGCAGACCACGGTGGTGTCTCTGCAGACAAGAGCAGCAGACTCCTAAAGGGTGCCTATCTGGTTGGCAGTAGTCAAGGGGCAGGTGGCCGAATTCCCTTCACATTTCAAGCCTGTGCCAATGACAAGGCTAGGCCTAAAGTAACGTCATTTGCTAGAAGTCCACATTCTGTCCACACTAAGTGCCATGATTAGGGAGGGAGTGAGGAGAAGCTGCATGGAGTAGAGGAGTGCAGGGACAGAACCAGGCAGCAGATGGAGCTTCCTGGTTCCCTAAGGTCAGATACTCAGCTCCAATTGATTGAACCCTGAGATCCTAGCCACAGAGCATCAGGAATGGGAAAAGGAGACAGCAGTTTTCAGGATTACCCTGCACAGGCCCAGACCAACAGGACTTACTTAACAGCGACCGATTTGGCCTGCAAGGCCGTGCTCCAGAAGTCATCCACCTGCTCCGGCGCTCCGTAGGCCTCCAGGCAGGAACTGAAGGGCACCTGGGCCCGGACCAGTTCTGGCAGTGGCAGCTTTTCCTCCTCAGCTTGCCGTTTCTTTTCCTCATACTCCAGAAGTTCCTCTGGTGACAGAATTGACAGGTGGATTCTTCAGGGGACACTGTTGCTTCCCTTCCTTAGCTTCACCCTGCTAGCTCCGTGTCCATGCCACTCAGGATCTCAGCTCTACAACACTCCCAAAGCCCACTAGATACCTATTTCCTTAGGATCTTGCCTCTTTCTCAACACGGCTTTGCATAACAAGCAACGTGAATTCTACCCACCCAATGGCCCAAGAAGCAGAGCATACCACGGGCTGGTCCTCAAGGCCAGGCTCTGTTCCTCCAAGGTGCATAAGCACTTCTCCTAGACTACGCCTCCCACCGCCTCCAGGCCTCATTGAGAGAGCAGCCTACCTTTGTTCAGGGCTGCATCCATGGGCACAGGCAACTGCATGATGTAGTCAACTCGCTGGGTGTACTTAACCTTCTCTGTAGCCAGGCACTTGATCTTCTCCTCCACCAAGAAGCGGAATACTTCATTAGGGTTTTCAGAACTCCGGCAATTTCTCTATGGGAAAGAGGCAGGTATCGAATAGGGACCGAAGAGGTTCACTGGGGGTCAGTGAGAGAGTGGAGTGACATGGAGACTGCCATTAAGGGGTGTGGGGATACAAGAGTTGAGTAGAATTTCAGTTAATTACTTTAATTGAACACCCTCTGCCCAATTCTGCTCCCATCAGAGCACTGTGTGACTGTGCCAAGACATGTGCTTGTATTTTTCTTTATGAGAAATAAGCATTCTCTTTGGTCATGTCTTAATTAGGCTGCAAGCTCATCGAGTATGAAGATTGCTGCTTGTCCTCACTATTCTCAGGTGCAAATGCAATCCTCAGTCTACTGACCAGGGGACAGGGGGGGACTGGACTGGGGCTTCCAGGAGAGAATGGGCAGGAGGGAGAAGGCAGTGACGTGTAGGTGCATGGAAGGAGTATGAAGCAATCTTCCCTTTGTCCTTTACCTCCACCATGTTGATAAGGTGAAGGAAGAACTCCTGGGCGTCCTGCTGCCGGTTGGTGGAGAACTCAGGGTGGCCCTTGCCAATGAGGGCTTTGAACATCCGAGGAGCAATGCCATCCTGAACTTCCTAGGCAGAGCCAGTGCAGGGATTCAGCTGAGCATTGACAACTCCCTATCTCTTACACTCCCAGACCTGTTTCCCCATAATTCCAGAGCCTGAAAGGAGTAGAGTCCCAGACTCACTTTCTGTTCTGGCATCTGCTCCCCATCGCTGGACTCCAGCGCTGGCTTGGAGTACTCTCCGGAGAGAAGGCCATGGCCCAGCTTGGCTCTATGATAACATCCAAGAGAACTATTTAACATCAGTCTACTAATGACCCTCTGGCACCTATCTGTATCCTTCCCTGCCCCACAACTCCTCCACCCTGCCCACCTTAGACAACTCTCCAAGTGTGAAAAACCTTTTGTTCCACAGGAACCCAGCTCAAGGCAAACATGCCCAGAAGGAAATCAATCATCCAAACTGCTTCCTACCCCAGGTGGTCATGGAGGAGGAAGAGCACACCCGGGCTGTGAGTGGCACTCTTGTATAGAGGGCCTGGCTACCTACACCTGGGTGCTGAAGTCCTGGGTAGGGTCCGATGGGGCATTCTGGAAGATTCTCTCCAGCTTATCCACATACCTAAGAACCAAGGAAAGATCACTGCAGTGGCTTTGGCCTGGGCTCAGAGGAAAAGAGAAGGGAGCAACAATCTACCAACTCATCAGAGAAGAGGTTTATCCCAGAGTGGAGAGTTGCTGGTAGTTAAACCTGGAGCCCACATCTCTCTAGCAACCTGCTCTTTTTCCCCTTCTAACTATGCCAGTTGCGGTATATTCTGAGGTATTTTTTCCCTGTCTTCTCCCCAAGCTAGAGCCAGTGGAAGGGAGAAGGTCTACTGAGATTAGGATAAATACAATTCCTACTGCCTTTCTTCTCCAAAACCCTCTCTCTCTCCAAGTGCTGCCTGTCCCTGTTAGCTGTACATCTGATGTCACTGGCCTAAAATAAGACCACCTGCTTACTAACCCTTGCCTCAGCCAGACGGCACAGAGAGTCCTGGGATTTGGTGTTCTGCTTTCTCAATGGGACTGTGAGCGTCTGGGTGGTGGTGATAGAATTGAGCCCTTCAGGAGCACACCAGCCACAGTGTAATAGAAACTATTCTGAGACTGGGATAAAATGCAAACGCAAGGAAGACAGGTGAAGGAAGCTTATGCCCTGAGAAGACCAGAAGAAAAGCTGAGGAGCTAGGGGGCAGAGCGAAGGCGCTATAGTGGGGAGAGGGCGCCACTTACTTCCTCTGGAAGTCGGGGATGCTGAAGAGCACCTGGACCACAGAGTTGAGGTAGCAGCTGTTACCCAGGTTCCGGATGCCTGTGTAGCCAGGCCCGAACAGGGGCTTAAGTGGCCCACCCGACTCCTGGATCAGCTCCCACTCGCCAATCCGCTGGTTCATATCGATCTCCAACTCAGTCATCGTCTTGTCTGTCTGCATGGGAAGGGGTGCTTTAGACTGTAAGACACTACACCCTGCATGTTTTATGAACTTTACTTAATAAATACAGAGCTGGAGCTTAGAATTTGTTAAATACGGACTCAAGCTTGGGAGGCACTTTAAGTATCATCCAGTCCCGGCCGCAGGTAGTCCTCTCAGAGGGCTGTGAGCCTCCCGTTCAAAGAAGGAATGATTGTAACCGTGGCAATGAAACAATATACAACAGGCTGAATGTAAAGGTAATGTTCTTCCATGTAAACTATCACATAATTCTCAATAAAACATTTAAGAAAAAAGAAGGAATGAAAAGAGTGCGATGGGCCCTACCCCCTCTACTGGAAACGTTCTTCCTATCCTGAATTGACTCCTGCTCAGCCTTCAGATTCCTCCTTAAACATCACATTCTCAGGGGAATATCCTTAACCCCCTAGACTAGATGAGGTCTTCTTTCCTGCTTCATAACCTATTGTATCACCCTCCTCTACCTCTCTTTCATAGCACCCATCAGTTTGAGATTATTCAGTTGTTTGGGTTGAGAATGTAATTAACACCAGCCTTTCTCTCCAGAATTTGTCTGTGTAAGCAGATTTCAGTAAATATCCACTGAATGAATAAATGATTCTAGGGGAGTTTTCAATGAAAACCCAAGTATGAAAAGGCGTCAAAAAGTTCACAAAAAAATAGAATTAAAAGATAATGGATTTTAGGGCCCTAGAACCATCAAGAGAAAAGAGTATGAGTGGAAGTGGGACCCTATCCAGAGAGGCAGTGACACCAGAAATGGAGGCAGATATGAGGCTATGGGGAGAGGGGAGCAGCTGAGGACTCTATACTCCTGGAAAGAGAAAGGCTGTGTGCTGGCGGCCAGGAGGCAGGTTACAGAATGTACCCTTTGGTGGTTTAAATTATTATATATTCCTGAGTGTTTTTGTGTACACCCCTCCCACCCCACCCCACAAAATAACAGAGGGAATGGCAGCAAATACTGTTGAATGATGATGCATAGAGGAGATTGTAATCACTGAAATGATGAGGGTAAAACTGATATTCTCCCATTTAAACTACCACTCAATTCACAATAAAAACTTAAAAAAAGGAAAAAAAAAGATAATGGGTTTTTCCACACTTTTTAAGGTCCCCTTAGATCTTGGCTCCTGGGTTAATTGAAGTAGCTCTTTCCCAAACCCTACTCTCCACCTTAGGCAAGGAAACAAGCTTCACAGGGGCCGGGTCAGAGAGGGAAGTTAAAGGGTTCTCACCTTCTGCATCTTCAGCATGTCAATGCCGAAGTGGGACAGATGCTCAGCTAGGTTGGGATCCAGGACCATGTCGTCTTCATCGTATGAGTACACATCTGGGGCAGGGGGCAGGAGCAGTGTCAGAGGTGGTAGGTAGTTCACAACTGTTCTGGTCATCAACTCCACTCCTTGCCCTGAGGGAGCCTCAGTGGGACAGAAGGGCTAGCCTGTAAGGGTAACTCTCCTGAACACCAGTGAGGCCACAGACCCTTCTAGGGCTAGTTATCAGAGAAGATGGGGGTGAAACAGTGAAGGTTAGATCACTGCTTCTACCCATGCCAGAAAAGGACTCGGGGAAAGAAGGATTTGGAAGGACACTCACTAAACAGATAATGGTAGTTACCTCTAGGAAAGAGGCTAGGATTGTGGGGGTGGGGGTGTTTAATTGAAGATTTAGTCTCACCTGTAATAGTCTATCAAGAGAATGCATTCATACATGTTATACAAAGTTAATAAAAATGAAAATGTACTTTCAACATGAGGGTAGTGGGGGAAGAAAGAAGAGGGTCATACCAGCTCCATCAGGTGTGATGGTGCCCAGCTTGACAGCCAGTGGATAGGCGGTCTCCCTATAGTGTTCCACGGCATGGTTGTTGCCCCCACTGCCATCAAAGTAGCGTCGGCCACAAAGGATGGAGCCATCTGTTAGGTTGAGCCACAGGTTCTCTCTCATGTCACACTTGGAACACTTCCAGCCACTGACCACAGGAAAAGAGACTTAATGGAAATGTAGGTTGGGGGCATATGGGTATAGCAAGGAGGGGGTTCTGCAGGGCCCCAGCAGTCCCAAGATCTCTCCCATTCTCTGGCCTCAGGATGTGCCCTGCTTTGTTCCCCTCCCCCTAAGTCTCCCTTCCTGTCCCTCCCTGCCCTCTCCCACCAGATCCCTCAGGAGGGCATCCTGTTTGCCCTTGCTCTTAGAGTTGTAACCCAGGGAGGAAAGGCCAGGTCTCACCAGGGAGGGATTCGAGCAGGGTTGTCCAACTGCTTAAGGTTGAAGGCATGCTTTGACACCTGCCGCACCTCCCCATCCCAGGCCTGCACCTCCTGCTTGCGGGAGGCAGAGTCAGCCGACAGCAGGGCCTCCACCGCACTGGTCACCTGGAAGAAGCAGAGGGTCAGAAACAGTACCCAGCTCCATATACCTCTCTCCCGCATACACTTTGGCTGTCAGTGTCTGACCACTACATCACGACTCCAGCCCCCATGTGCCCCAGAATCTTTGGTGGAGCATGAAGGTATTCATACCCGTTCTCTGACCATGTCAGGCAGGCCTCCCAACCCATCCCGGGCAATCTCCAGGTAATCAGGCAAAATGATAATCTTTACATCTTCATCATATTCAAACTTATCCTCAGTGAGGTCAAAACCGCCTTCCACACCTGGTGGCATAAGGAAGAAAAGGAAGAACAGAGCAACCACCACAGGTAAATGTCCCTTCTCTGCAAAAGCCCCTTCCTTTGTCCCCTCTAGAGCTCTAGGACCACAGAGCAGGCCTATTCCCTGTTACCTCTGACAATAGGAAAGAACAGCTTGGGGAGTGAGGAAAACATTGGGGGTGCTCACCAATAGCCAGTCGGGTGGGCTTCTTGCGTGGGGGGTCTCCAGTGCCTGTAGTGGTGTCCTCCTCTTTCTGCAAGGAGGCAGGAAGTAGGATCAGCAATGGGCACTCGAGTCCAGAGGAGGAAACTCGGGAGCACAGATGGGATGGGTTAATCTGGGAAGAGGGTGTAGCCAAAACCTATCTATGCTGAGTTTGTGTTATGTAATTTTTATCTAACAACAGGCTTACTAGTCTGATAAGAGACTGGTGGAACTCCACAGACTATGGCCCTTAGTCACCCTTCAAGTCTGGAAATTAACTCACCCCCATAGCTCAACTCAACTTTCAGCCAAAGAACAGACAGGCCTATAAAGTGAATGATAACTCAGGGAAGTCCGCACTCCTCAGAACAATCAACTGCCCAAGATCAAAAAGGCAGGATTTGTCAAGAGATAAAGCTCAGAAGGCAGGACTGGGTAGGTAAGGACAAATGGAAATGACAAACCCAGGGATGAAGTGGGAAGAGTGCTGTTACATTGTGGGGCTTGCACTCAGTGTCATGAAACAAAATGTGTATGAATTGTCAAGTGTATATATGAACTGAAAGCTTTCATTCAGATCACAATATAGTTTTTATATATGTTGTTGCAATTCATAGTGACCTTGTATAAGGTTTGCAAGGAGCAGCTGGTAGGTTTGAACCACTGGCCTTGTCATTAAGCAGTTCAGGGCCCCTATATGTGTGTGTGTGTGTATATACACATATGTAATATACGTACATATATATATGTGAAACATTTGCCATTTCAAGATTCTTCCTATGTACAGTTCAGAGATATTAATTATGGTCATCAGATTGTTCAACCAGCACCCTTATTAATTCCCAAAGTTTTCCATCTGAGGTAAGGTTTAATGATACAAACAAAAGTAGGTAAAAAGGGGGAAACTGAGACCAACAGGTTAGAATGGCACAGAGATTCAGAATGAGTCTACTGTGGTTTGTCTGCTGTAGTCCTGCCCTGTCCCCTGCCCTACCGGGCGCCGTGTCCGTCGAAGATGCAGGTAGACTCGCTGGCCAGTCTTGTTGTAGTGCCTCTCCACATACTGTTTCCCAAAGCCCAGGAATGTGTTCATGCAGATGTAGAGGCCGCCTTCAGACTCCTGTGGGATAAAAGGCAGGGGAGGAAATGGAAGAAGTCACAGGAGGATAAAGTCTAGCGGGATAGTGAAACCAACGACATGGATGGGGTCAGAAACTCCTGACTTTCAAAAAGAAGGTTCTGTTCTCAAACACTGTGTGGCCATCAGGAAGTTATTTCACCCTTTGAGACCCGATACCTGAGTAAGAGTCTCTCCTATTCCCTCCTCTGACTTTGATAAGCGTCAATGAGGACACCAAAGAGACAAGTAACACCTGTCAGTCACCCATTTTCCCTTTTCTCCTTCTTTGGCCATTGGAGCTCTCCAATCGTAGAAAGCTCACTTCTCACCCAGCCAGTAAATGAAGATCAAATATGTTGCGCGTCCAGTGCTAGAGATTACACACAGAGAAAACAGTTTTTTTCTTAGAAGAGAAGAGATCTGCATGTCAGGCACTGAACCCAAACCAGGGGCACCTGAGACAAATGCTACCTGCTCTCCATAATTAGGTGGAGCAGACTACACTTATAAATAGGAAACCTAACTCCAGAGCATTCCAGCAAGTCCAGACCTTTTCTCTACCACATTCTACTACATGCTCTGAGTCTTCTCCTTCCTCTCCTGCTGAAGCCTGGCTCCAAAGGAACAATGCCTTGTTTGGGGCTCACCGTCTGGCTGGTACATCAAGTCCAGCACTCTTCAGTCACCATCCTGCTCCCACCCATCCACTCTGATCAATAAGGATGATCCCCATTCAAGAGCCATCTATATACCTGTAACATCAAATCTATCTCCTTCCTAGAACAATCTAGCAACACTTGCTGTGACAGCTGGAACATGTACAACCCAGGAAGAACACATGGAAAGAAATCACAGCTGAGGAGGGAGGATGGGCCTCCCCCAAGGCTGAAAAAGCTCACAAGACAGGGTGATAGAGAAGTTGGAGGAGGAAATTGAAGACAGTAAGTCTTCCCTCAGATCCATGGCTCTGAGCAACAATAGGCATCTTCTTCCTCGAATAAAAGCCTCAGTGGCCTTGAAATTTTTTTCTGCTGTGATATTCAAAATAGGACATGCTCTAAGGCGGTTGGTTCTTGGTCCCATAAATTGCTCTGTCCCACTCCCAAATAGACTATTTACCACCACCAGAAAGTCACCTAAGCTCTTTCCACTATGAACCCAATTTGAAGATCATCAAATATTCCAGAAGCTAGTTAATAAGGCAACTAGGTCACACCAGAGACCTTTGACTTGGAGTCAGAGAAGTGTCAGATGATGACAAAAACTGTCTTTGGATTATTCAAAGCAGTTACTAAGGAAGAGAGACAGCAGAGATTACAAAGGACTAAAAATAGTGATAAGGAGGGACCCACTGACTTGTACCATATGTTGAGAATTAAGAAAAACCTTTCCCTCCTGAGGAAGATGGTGCTGCACCAATCCATGCATTTGATCAACTGGGAGCAATATGGGAGCTCTGCAGTGATTCAACTCTTCTGTTGGAACTAAAAGTTGCTGATTTCACTAAGGACTGGGGACCCTGGAGCTTTGCTCTGAAAAGTTCTTTTACCTTTGCCAGACTTCAGAGAAGCAGCACATTGTCTGCGGCTCAGATCAAAGCCTAGGAAATCAAGCAAACCACAAATCACAGTGGTAATCCTGAACTGGGCCTTAGCCCGTGTTGCTATACTCGGCACTGGAGATGCATTAATGAAGCCTTTCCACTCTGACTTGCAGTTTTCTGGCCATGAGCTGGTCTGGCTGAACACCCTGGGCAGGGCTCAGCAGTGGCTTGAGGGGAGGGGTAGTGAGGGGGGCGGATCCCAGACTGCTGTTCTCTCGGTTCAGGCTCCGACCTGGCTAGAGGCCTGACTTTGCTTGAGGGAGGCAGAACTGCAGGAAAAGAGCCACTGGGTGGAGCCGGCAAAAGGTGAAGCACGGTGTAGGTGGCGGTTTTCTCTAACTAGTCAAGAGTGGGCGCCGGGATGGGTAAGAGTCCTTACTATCCATCAAGAAAGAAGCCATCTCTCTGGGAATATTTTAAATGAGATTCCCTCTTTTCTTTATGATGGGCAGGGGAAAGGGAGGGGCTGCGGTTACAGATCACCTCAGTGGAAAAATGACGAGTGCTTTCTTTTCATTTACCAATGACCCACCTTACCGTCCCCTGTCCATATTAACCATGGATAAAAGAGTCTTCCTAACTCGGCCCTTCTGAGAACCGGTCTGCTTCCAAACCCCTTGAACAGTATCAGCCGCCCAGATACTGCAGTACCCACTACCCTTCTACACGGGCCCAGAACAGTGGGGGTCGCCCCCATCCCTCCCATATGAAACTACAAAACCCGGAGAGCAAAGCGCGATAGACACCGCCAACTCCCAGGCTTTCACAGAGGGCCACTCGGGGGATGTAGTCAGAAGGTCGGGTTGCGTCCCTAGTTTCAAATGGCAAAGAGGGAGTGATCGACTACAATCCCCACAGTGCTCCACGATTCAGGGAGCGGGTTCGGTGATGGCAGTAGCTTCCGGGGACGGTAGTCGCTTGACAGTCCCGGCTAATAAAAAGCAACGGCAGAGAAGAGAGTAGGAGACTACAAGTCCCATGATGCACCGAAGGGAGGCGGTAGCTCAAGCCTTGCAGGCCCCGGCAGAATGACCAGGGCGATGGAAGGAAATCGTGCTTGCTGCGGGCATGGGGAATGGGCTTACCGGCGAGTCGAAAGAGAAGGCGCACTCGTCTTTGTGGACCCGGTCTCCAGCCTTAGGGACCCGGATCGTCGGTAATACTGACATTAGCGCCTCACTCAGCTCCGCCATGACACCGGCAGCAGCTCTTCCACCCAGCAGCTCCCACCGTTCCTAGTCCCCCACCCACTATTCTTCCCGTCCAATGAACACTACTCCTTAGGTGCATGCGCTCAAGGGAAGCAGCGCGAGAATGGCAGTTGGGCGGAGCCTATCCACTAGTGCTCCGCCCTCTGCCCTGCCAATGAGAAGTGCTCCTAACACCATTGATGGTTGAAAGAACCAATCTCACTTCTCTAAGGCATATGCACACATATAGCAGCCAGGCGGGCCCAGGAGTTTTGGTTGCTCGGTCTCTTGAGACGCTTATGGTGCCTTCGCGTGTCTTCTATTGCAAAGCAGAAATTGACGGACGTTTAAACCAATCAGTCTCAGAAACTTTCTTGGGGACTTGTCCAATCAGAAAATATTAGGGCACTTGTGTTCTTAGTATTTGAAAAAGGGCTACCCTATGAGGTGGAGTTTGAAAGTGTCAACTGATTGATAACTTCTTCTACCAATAATGATTACTATCCCTCTCGCCTCAGGAGAAACCATCATTAACTCCATCTCCAACTGGTTTTGTACATAACAGCGTAATGGTTTATTAATTTTTTGTTAATAAAATAGTTTGTCTTTAAAACTAAAGGTTTCAAAAACGAAGACTAGCACTCAAAATATCACGAAGAACTCTCAGCCCCATACTGAGCAAAATTCCCGTTAATCAAGGAGGCGTCATCTTGGGCAAGCTAAGCTTCTGCCCATTGGTCCCAGGTTCTCCTTGATAGACGACCTTCCAGCCCAATGCCTACGTTCACAGAGCGAGCCTATGGGAGCGGACGTAGGTTCAGCCAATAGGAGCAAGGCAGGGGGCGTGGCGGGAAGTTTGAAACAGCTTCGGGAGTTAAGGCTCGAGCTCCTGTGGACCTAAAGGAGGAATTGGGGCCCGGTAAGTGTTTTGAGTAAATTAGAGGTCCCGAGAGGTCCAGATGCACTAGTCCTTATCCCCGCAGAGGTCTATGGAATAGCGGCCGGAGGTTCTCCTCAGCTGGAAACTGGGAAGATCGGGGAATTGGGGTAAAAGGTGGACATGATCGCGGTAAGGGCTGAGACCTGAGTCGCTTTTCGCAGGCATCCCTTCCTCGCCCCGGGCCGGGCCCTGCCCCATCCTACTTTTCCTGGTAAAGATGGGCTTGGCCAAAAGCGTCCCAGTCACTCCCGCGCGGCCGCCGCTGCACAACAAGCATCTGGCTCGAGTAGCAGACCCTCGTTCACCTAGTGCCGGCATCTTGCGTACTCCCATTCAGGTACTCTGGGTCGGGGTTGGGGGAGTAGAGAAAGGGTCTTCTTGGCCTCAGCCTCACTTAGTCCTGAACGAGACCTCATGCTCTCTACAATTCCTTCTTTGAGACAACTTTTCTACATCCTTAGGCTGTGTGGGGTAAGCTGAAGGTCTGCGGACTTGTGGGATATTGGCCTGGACCTAGGGACCTGGGCATAGGAGATAGTCAGGGCCCAAACTTGTTCTATCCTGTGGTCCTAACAGGTGGAGAGCTCTCCACAGCCAAGCCTATCATCAGAGAAACAGTTGGAGGATCCTAATCAGTGCCAGGACTCAGATCCTCGCTCTCCTACCCTTGGCATTGCCCGGACACCTATGAAGACCAGCACCAGTGGTAGGTGTTAGCCCAGGGAATGGGCCTCCCAGGACTCTTTCTCAAAGGGGACTCTGTCCTCCTGCTTTGGACTCATCTCTATCTTTTCTCAATAATTTGCTCCCTCTCACCTTGATTTCTCTCTTCCCACTTCCTCACCCACCTGGGCTGAATGATTTGTATCAGCGGGTCACTGTTCCTCTTCACTCCTCTCCTTTAGAACCTCCAAGCCCACTGGTGAAGCAGCTGAGTGAAGAATTTGACACCGAAGCCCCCAAATCAAATCCTCCCCCAGAGCCTGTTCTGCCCTTGGAGACACCTTCATCTTGTGAACTGGACTTGCCTTTGGATACCCATTTATCCCTTGAGGACCAGATACCACCTCTGAGCCAAACTGAGCTCCCCTTCAAAGAGGTCTTCTCCAAGGAGGAAGCAGGACAATCCACAGAAAGCCCTGTGGCCAGCCAGGGCTCAGACAAGCTCTTGATAGATCCTGAAACTCCCCGATCTTCAGGTACAGAATCTAAGATGTAGGGAAGAGAAACTAGGAGTATGTGCTAGTCTTGTCCAAGGATGCGTGTAGAAGGAGTAAACTGGAAGCCTCTAACTTGGGGTCCTTGCTTTAACTCCTTACCCACCCTAGGTTCTAAACGTAATAGACGGAAGCCAAATGGCAAGGTACTAGGGAGATCCCCCCTCACCATCCTGCAGGCTGACAACTCCCCTGGGACCCTGACATCACGCCAGGTAAAGGGAGAGAGGGTGACTAGGAAATCCAAGTTGGGGGATGGGGGTGGCCTTTTACCTGGATCTTCCCACTTACACACTGCCCTTTTCAGGGTAAACGGCCTTCTCCCCTGAGTGAAAATGTTAGGGAACGAAAAGAAGGGGCTGTCCTGGGAACTGGACGACTTCTGAAAACTGGAGGACAAGGATGGGAGCAAGGACAGGACCATGACAAGGAAAACCAGCACTTTCCCATGGTAGAGAACTAGGCCCTGGGCCTAGTGGTGTCCAGTGTCCTTCTCTTTCCCTGGCTTACTAATAAAAGGCTGGTTTTCTTTGACTCCCCCTAACCTACAAACTCGGGAACTGAAAGCTTGATTTGGGCTTTTTTTTTTTTTTGGTATGTTTCTTGTATATTAAAGGAAGTGATATTAAATGTTTTTAAATGTTATACCTAAATCTTATACTGGATCTTTTGTATGTAGGCTTGTGTTCCCTGGCCTGAGTGTCCCCTACTGCTAACTCCAAGCCCCATTTCCATCTCCTCCCTTAAATGCTGATGTCCTCCGGGGTTCTATCCTTGGTGTTTTCCTCTTGCTCTCTCCAGGTGTTCATTTCTATGGCTTTAGCTACTTATCTATATTCTGGTAACTTCCAGGTCTCTCTAACTTTAACCTTTATCCAGTTAGTTTATAAGCACTTCAAAGTCAGTTTGTCTAAAATTGAATTTGATCTTCCCCCAAAGCTATTTCTCCCCTACTCTTTGTTGTCATGAATTATCCACCCATTATACAAACCCAAACCTTGGCCATCTTTTGCATCCCTACCCTCTCAATAACTCACACCCTAGCATTCAATCACTAAATCTCGGTGATCTTATATCTGCACTCTCATTCCCATCCCTCTCCCTTACCCTTCTGTCTCCATCACGTTTGCATTTTTTTCTAGTTATTCATCCCTGTTGACATAAACTCACTACTCCCATGGTTCCTATCTAACCTGTCGAGTGGCTGTTGTCAGTTTGATTCCATGTTGTTGTAAAGTACTGTCGAGTTGGTACCAACTCAGCGACACTGTGTAACAGGGTTTCTGAGGAGCAGCTGGTGGGTTTGAATGGCCAACCTTGTGGTTTGATGTCCAATGCTGATCTTATAACACCACACCAGAAATACTGATCCCATATGGATAGATTTTAAAACAACATAATGTTAAGAGCAGACATGTTTTAGTTGTTAAACTTTATTGTTTGGTTTTAAGAAGACTTAAGTGGGTAATTTTAAACAAATTTTTTTAGAAACACAAAATGTTTTATTTTAAAATGTTGGGAAAACATAAAAAGACAAATGTCCATTATATAATCAAGTTTTAAATATATGGAATCTTTTGAAATGTAGTAGGCACTACCAAAGAGCTAAATGTTACAAATTACCTTACCATATTTCTTCTCTAGTATCAATAATGCTTGATACCAAGAACCTAGTAAGTCATCATCTTAACATTCCACTTAATTACACAAGTAACAATTCTCTTCAAGATATTCCAGACATACGAAGCTTCCAGTTGAATTTCACAAATGTTAACATTTGTCAGTGTTTGCCTTTGAATGTTTTGAGCATTGCTGTTATTATTGTTGGCTTATAACCACTACAGATACTAGTTCTAGGCCAGCCCTGTTGTGGCGAAGGAATGACTGCTTCCATAGGGTCTAGACCCCAGGACCTGTATGGTGGCGTGTAATGCAGACTCCCATAACCATCCCAGGGGAGTATAGCCACAGACTGCACCCACCTGGGGGGCCTCAGAAGCTGCTTCCATTACCCCAACTTCCCACACAAGAGCCCTGACAAGGAGGGGTTGGGGATTTAAAATATGTCAATGCATTATTGTTGTTGTTGTTAGGTGCGATCGAGTCGGTACCGACCCATAGCGACCTTATGCATAGCAGAACAAAACACTGCTCGATCCTGGGTAAACCTCACTATTGTTGCCATCCTTGAGTCCATCAATGCTGCTACTTGCCCAATCCATCTCATTGGGGATCTTCCTCTTTTTCTCTAACCCTCTACCTTACCAAACATGAGATCCTTCTTCAGTGACTGGTGCCTTGTGACAATATGTCCAAAGTATGAGGCCATCGTGGCCTCCAAGAAGCACTCTGGCTGCACTTCTTCTAACACAGATCTGTTGGTTCTTTTGGCATCCCACGGTACTTTCAATATTCTCCTCCAACACTATAACTCAAAAGCATCAATTCTTCTACGGTCTTCTTTATTTACTGTCCAGCTTTCACATGCATATGAGGTTATTGAAAATACTATGGCTTGGGTCAGGCACACCTTAGTCTTCAAGCTGACATCTTTGCT